GCCACCTTAGGTGTACGTGGCTGGCGCCTTAGCCGGTTGAGCTATAGGCTCCGAGCCAGGGCAGCGTGTTTCCATAGCCCAAGATGGTAAGCGCACTCTGTGGAGTCCAGAGTCTCTGTGGCACTGCCCTCTTGGGGTCAGAGGTTCAGATAATTGGCCCAATAACTCCTATTCCTTTTCTCTTGCTCAGAGGCTGGAGACTCCCAGGAGATACATTATGCCACCCCTGTGTTCCGGGAGGTGGCACCAACAGAGCAAGGTGAGCCACAGCTTGGGGTAAGGGATGCTGTTGAAATGAGATGAGAGGTCCCCGTGATGTCACTGTGCTTAAGAACTTTAGGAGCCCAGGAACAGGGTAGAGGGGGACAACAGAACATCCCAGGAAACTGGCAGCCACCATTTCCACAGTTTCTGAGAAATCCCATCAGGGGTGGAGGAGCAGGGAAGGGGGACGGATGTTCTAGGCCCATGTCACAAAAAAAAAAATCCAGAGACAAGGGTGCAGAGTCACTGCTCAAACACTTTTTTTTGAGACAGGGTCTTGCTCTGTCACCCAGGCTAGGGTACAGTGGCATGATCATACCTCACTGAAACGTCAGAGTCCTGGGCTTAAGTAATCCTTATGATCCCACCTCAACCTCCTGAGTTGCTGGGAGTACAAGCATGCTCCACTGTGCCTGGCCAATTTTTCTATTTTTATAGAGACTAGGGTCTCGATATGTTATCTAGGCTGGTCTTGATCTCCTGGCCTTAAATAATTCTCCTGCCTCAGCCTCCCTAAATGCTGAGATTACAGGTGTGAGCCATGATACCCAGCTCAAACATTTTCAAGAATAAATTGTTTGACATAGTTCAGGGAAAACCAGTAAGTCCTTGGTTCTGTCAGGCCACCTACCTACTAGAAATAGGATTTTTTTGTTTTTTGAGACAGAGTCTTACCATGTCACCTTTGGTAGAGTGCCATGGTGTCACAGCTCACAGCAACCTCAAACTCCTGGGCTCAAGCCATTCTCTTGCCTCAGCCTCCCAAGCAGCTGGGATTATAGGTGCCCGCCACAATGCTCAGCTATATTTTTGTTTTAGCAGACCTGGGCTGGGTTCGAACCCACCAACCCTGGTGCTTGTGGCCTGTGCCTTACCCACTGAGCTCCTGGCGCCATCCTGAGAAATAGGATTTTTTTTTTTTTTTTGCAGTTTTTGGCCAGGGCTGGGTTTGAACCCGCCACCTCCAGCATATGGGGCTGGCCCCTACTCCTTTGAGCCATAGGCACCACCCGAGAAATAGGATTTTTTCAAGAGCCTCTCTGGACATATATCTGAAGTTTACTGGATTATTTTCGCTTTTATGTTTCAGAAGCCTGTAATGATTGTAAAACTGAATGTGCTTATTCTGAACTCATCTTGTGAAATTTAAAGAAATAAACTACATCTCAGGGTAAGATGTTTTTTACGAAGCTGATTTACACGAAGAAAAAACAAAACTCAAACCTTTTTGACACTAAAAGATTGTCTAACTGGTTACATAAAATGAATTCCCATTTTCCAAGTTGAGATACTTGTCCCTGGCCCATTTGGGTATACATCCAATCCTGTCAGTAGACAGCAGTTTGGTCACTTGAGACTCCAAGGGTAATGGATTTGAATTGCTTTTGCTATTTTTAGGTATGGACCATTCTCCTCATTCCCTCATCATTTTTCTAAGAATAATTGTTAGACTACTGTCCTCTTCATAAGTGTCTCTCAGAGGTATTACAATGACCGTTTTTCAGATTTCTTCATCCCCACAGTGGTGGACACCTGTAAGCCCACCATGGGTTCAAAAGCAAAAGCACAAAGCAAAATCCATGTCTGAATTCTAAAACAAAAATAGATGACCTTGAAAATGTGTCTGAAGACAGCAATGCCCGCAGTTGCCAGGAGCAGAGAACAAGATGACTCCAGGACCTGTTTTATCCGCTATTTCCATTTGCTCTCAGACCATGTAAGGCTGCCACAATGTTGATACTGATGGTCTTTCTCAGTCCCCACGATTTAGCTAAGGCCAAAGGTGTGGCTTCATCTCCCAAACAGCATCTGTGGAGAGAACTGCCCAGAGTTGGTTGGAGGAAGGGAGAAAGTGCTGGTTACCTAGACCACTGTGATAAATTACTATAAACTGGCAGCTGAAAACAACAGAAATTTATTTTCTCGTACCTCTGGAAGCCAGAAGTCCAAAATCCAGGTGTCAGCAGCTCCCCCTGAAGCCTCTAGGGGAGCTGGCCCCCTGGCCCTGGTGGCCTCTGGCCCTGTGGCTCCTTCACTCCGACCTGTGCTTCTGTCTTCACGTGGCTCTCCGGCTGCTTGTCTCTTATTTGGATGCTTGTCACTGGGTTTAGGGCTCAACCAGATAATCCAGGATGATGTCGTCTCAAGAACTTTCATGGGATTACATCTGCAAAGACCCTTTCCCCAAATAAGATCACATTCATGGGTTCCAGGAGTTGGGACACGGATCTTTTGGGGGCACCACAATTCAACTCGCTCCAGGGGCCAAAATGATCTCCGGTTTGAAGTTGAAAATAAAGCTCAATACAAGTCATTTTTAGGGTTCTAGAGAAACAAAACTTGACCAAAACATTTCTGCTTTGTTCTTCTTTGGGGGGTTGCCTGAAACTCAGTCTTAATTGTTCCTAACAATGAATCTCTGACTAGAAAATTCACAGCTGTCATGAATTAGACACTAACTCTAGGGTAACATCCTCTAAGGCCAATGTTATTGTTTTTACAGTTAAGGAACCTTAGACTCAGATGTCATTTTACAAGGTCACCCACAGCTTGGTAAGTGTTGAACTAGGGGTGAAATCCTAGCCAAGAACACTGGAAGCCACAGGGAAAGCCTCTGCAGGCTGGGCAGGCACGCCGCGCACCCAGGTCTGGAGGAGTTTAAGGATCATGCTGCCGTAAAGCAGCACTCACTAGCATAAGCCCCCCTTTCTCTGCTGGCATTTTTATTTGGGGAAATTGATATATTACAGAGGCAGAAGGTGTGGGGACTCTGGGGTCTGACAGACCCAAATCTAGTAGGCCCAGTCATGGGCTGTGTAACTTTGGATAAGTTACTGAACCTCTCTGGGCTTCAGTGTCCTTATTCATGAGAGGGAGGGCAACGGAAGGAAGAAAACAATACTCACATCACGGAGCTGCTGTGAGATGAACTCAGGTAATGAATACAAAGGGCTTAGAACAGGAGCAGACACATAAGGAGAACTCATAGACACTAGTCACAGTGGGACAGCACCTAGCCTGAGACATGACAGTTGGCAGCTGTTCTTAGAAACCTTGAAGCCTTTGACAGCATAAACTTGGTGAATTGACCACTAATGGTTTTGTCATCTGTCTTAACTTGAGCTCTCTTTTTTTATTTTTTTGAGACAGAGTCTCATTCTGTTACCCTTAGTAGAGCACTGTGGCATCACAGCTCACAGCAAACTCAAACTCTTGGGCTCAAGAGATCCTCTTGCCTCAGCCTTCCAAGGAGGTGGGACCACAGGTGCCCGCCGCAATGTTCAGTTAGTTTTTCTATTTTTAATAAAGACGAGGTCTCCCTCTTACTCAGGCTGGTCTTGAACTCCAAACTCCTAAGCTCAGGCAATCTACCTGCCTCAGCCTCCCAGAGTTCTAGGATTACAGAAAAAATTGAAAAAAAAAATAAATAACAAAACAAAATTAGCTGGTCGTGGTGATCAGCTCCTCTAGTTCCTGCTACTCAGAAGGTTGAGGCAGAACTGCTTGAGTCCATGAATTCGAGGCTGCAAAGAGCTGTGACTGCAGCACTGCACTCCAGCCTGGGAAACGGAAATAGAGGAAGGGAGGGAGGGAAGGAAGAAAGAGAAAGAAAGCAGAGCCTGATACTAGGACCTGGGTGCAGGGACTTTATGTTGAAAATGATCCCAGGGAAGGAGAAAATGCCAACAAAGGGAGGGAGAGAAGTCATCTCCCACTTAGTGACCACAGGGGTAAGTGGTCCACCCACTGGGTTTGATTCTGTTGAGACCTTCTGAGGTCTTGAAGTCCAGAATGCCTCTCAGAATTGTTTCTGGGGGTCAATAGGGAGGTGAATTTATCCATTGGCTCCCATGCCCTATTAGTTCAGGACTATCCTAAGAAGATGTATGTACCAAGAGGGGTGGTGCACTAGTCACAGTGTCAGAGCAGGGCAGAGAACAGAAGCTGGGGGTGATGCGTGGGCAGGATTCCATGACTGTGAAGTCCACGCAGAACTATTTCCACAGCTGTGGCTTGAATTAGAGTGAGACCAAGAGCAGGCTGATCCAATCCCCTACCCTATCCCCGGCACCACTCAGACCTCCCCTTGCCCTCATGAAGTTGAACCTGCCACCAACTAGTATTCCAGGTAGTGCCAGTCACAATCTGTCCAAAAGATCTAACCTAGGAGGGTTAATGAAACCAGCTACACTTCCTGTGGCTACAACAGCTCCTAACTGATAACTGATATCCTAATCTCCCTCCTACCACCACCCGTTCCGGATTTCCTTTACCCTCAGCCAGCACTGCAGTAGCCTACATGGCCAGGATGACCCAGACCTTGAACCTTTCAGTCTGAGCCCCTACATCGTGACTGAGGGCAGGAAAGAGCTGGGACCAAACCATGAATGTGCACCACTATCCCTCCCATATGACCTTAAGCTGCTTTTAACCTTTTCTTCTGATGGGAATTAAAAAGAACACATCTGCCAGATGGGAAGCTGTGCACCATGTGCTGGAGGCTGTCAATGCCTCTGTTGCAGCAGCTACAATGGAATCTACAGGTGGTCAAGGTTAGGGCAGTCTCCAGACCCCTGCTGGGACCCAGCTGGTGTTTGTAGTGGTCATAGCGGTGAGGCTCAGACTCTCCTATAAAAGTGGCCCCCAGTCCACATGCCAGGAAGGCCAGGTAAGGGGCCTATGGGTGGTACATCCATTGTCATGCGCCATCGGGAATCAAGAAAATGACCACAAGGTGGCTCTGCAGGCTCTCAGGCCTACTGTGAGAACAGTTTTTACCAGTCCTCCATGATCAGTGGGCCTCTGGGCATCCCCATAGCACCCTGTATCCAACCTCCCCTGAAAGGCCCTGGCTGAGCTGGTGGTCTCCCTTCCTGGTTCACAGCTTCTCTGCTAAAGAGATATGGGACCCTCAGGGAAAGACTGAGGGAATGGTTACTGAGTACACTTGCTCTTTTGCAGGGTCCTTTCTCAAGGGGATACCTGGATACGTCTGAGGAGTGGGTTACACCAGGAAACAATTCATGATTTTCCATTATGGTGCCAGTACCAGCCCTCCAGGCATCTGCTTTGGTCTTTTGTGGCCATATAAACAGCGTTGTCATTGACAGCCTATCTATCCTACTCCCAGGAACGCCCGGGTCTCAGCCTGGATCCCAGCTACTCTGCATTACTACCCTTCATGGCAGTTACTTTAACCCTGCTTCCCACACTCCAGCGTCACCACCTCACCTCTGCTATGGCGGAGTTCTGTCATTCCCACTGACACCAAGGCCCAGTCCTGGGTAACATCTTCTATCACCAACTCTGGCTGACAAAGGATAGCCACCACTTAGGTCCACCAGTGTTCCACTCCAGGACATTTGAATTGCTTCAGTAAAGGAAGCATCTTTTAGGCTCTCCAGAAAGACATAGGGAGTGGGGGGTGTTCTGGCCTCCCACAGTGAACTCATGCTGACAGGCCTGCTTCTCTGGGTCTTGGGACTCTCCTGGAGATTTGGCTTAAACACTGGAATCCTTGTTCCGGTAGGGGTATACTGTCCAATAGAAATAGAAGATGAACCACAGAGATACTTTTTTTTTAGAGACAGAGTCTCACTTTGTTGCCCTTTGTAGAGTGCTGTGATGTCACAGCTCACGGCAACCTCCAACTCCTGGGCTTAAGAAATTCTCTTGCCTCAGCCTTCCAAGTAGCTGGGACTACAGGCACCCACCACCACACCTGGCTATTTTTTGTTGCAGTTTGGCCAGGGTCAGGTGAACCTACCACCCTCGGTATATGGGGCTAGCGTCCTACTCAGAGCCACAGGTGGTGCCCACCACAGAGGTACTTTTAACTTTTTCTAGCAGTCACCATAAAAATTAAAAATAGATGAAATAAATTGGAATTGTGTATTTTAAATCCAGCGTATCCAACATCTTATCATTTTAACACGCGCCACTAGCTCTGTTTCACCCAGCTTGTAGCATTGCTTCTGACTATGGCTACTATGTTGCACTGCCCACTGTCCACTATGTTGTGTGGCCTCCGTTGGGTCCAAGCTTCAAGGAAACATCCCAGCTGCATAGTTAGGACCAGCTCCTGGTAACCTTACATGACACTAAACCTTGATTTTGTGATACAGTCTCACATTCTGTGCTGTTCAGTGCAGAGTTCCCTCGTCCCTTCCACATGCTCCCCTGGCTCCTGGCTGAATGTCTCAGCAGTGTCTACGGCCATATCATCC